TCAATTTCTTAAGAGGCCCTTGCGAAAAAGGGGGATTTTACAGTGGCGGTCTGGAAGATGAGAGGGGAGACAGCGCGGGCGGACTGACAGATGAAAAGGAGAACGGGCGAGAGGGATGGAGTCGGAATGAGCAAGCAGCCAGGGAAAGAGGGGCTCGCTGTGGCCGAGGGAGACCGGGGCATGAGCCACGTGCCGACGCAGGGCGTCGCGCAGGGACCGCTGCTGCCGAGGCCGCAACTCGGCTCTCCACGGGAAGGACAACGGAGAATCGGCGCTCGCTTCACAAAGGAGAAAAGAAAGCAGAAAAGCGGACTGGAAAGATGATGTATGGAGCCAGTAATAGGTCGATTCCGGTGAATAAGCTGAGGAGACATAATATTTTTCAAGAGAGAAAAAAATATCTTTCAACGGAAGTTAATCAGGGATTAACGGTATTCAAACAACGGTCATATGCAAACGAAACTATTGTGTGTAGGTTTTGTTTGAATTCATTAATGCCTGATCAGCTGAAAGTTGTTTTTTGGTTCTCCTCCGGAAATTAAGCTTTCATGACTTACCAGCTTATTCACCGGAGAATGATGACCGTGGTAGTTTTGGTTGCCATAGTGGAGGCAATGAAGATGTGGTAGAATTGTTTAAAGGAGCAGTGATGGCGGTGATGGTAGAAAGAGCGATGATGGCGTTAGCGAGGGTGGCGGAAATGATAGAGCTGGTGATAGTTGTCAAGATATTGGCTGTTATTAAGAAGAACATGGGAGCCGAGGTATTGGGTGGATGTCCAGTATGGTTTAGGTATTCTCTGCGAAAAAAAATAAAACTCTTGAATGCACAGTTATGCGATGCTGTTCTTCCGTGATTTCGATAGTCAACAGAACATAATTAACTTAGACCTACCGTCGGCTAGCGGGGTTTCCCTCAATCAGATATTTCCCACCAGAGAGGCACAAGCTCTCCCGGCATGTGTGATAGTGTAATGCATCTTAGTGTAAATGCGTGTAAGGGGTGAAGATAGGACAAGGCAGAGGTAGGAAAGATCGCGCGCGATCAGTGGCTCGTATGTTAAGATACTGCCCCGGCATATGCCTGGTATTGATCAGAGCAACCCCGGAAAACCACCGATCAGTGACGCCGGCCGCAAGCATTCTCCTTCAGATAGGGACTGAATTGCATGTAGCTGACAAGGTAGTGTGAAATTATGCCACCGCACAGTGTGAAATTTTGGCCATCTAGCTGGAAAAAAGTCCAGTTTCCATAGCGCTAGGAAGGCTTTGCTTTATCTGAGGTATTTGTTTGATTTTAAAAGGTCCATAGTACATAAAATAGGAATCCATTTTTGTATGAACCGCTGGAGGTGGCAGTAGGACAAGTTTATACATGAAGGTGTCACCAGGTGGCTCTATCTGGCACTTCACTACATCTTGTGTTGTCACACTACATCCGCTCCAAAGTGCATCAACTGCCACTGCACACGGAAGTCATCCACAAATTGTATTTTCGAAGGTCATTACTTTCTAGAAGTGTCTCAATGTAAGTAAAACGTCCTCTAGATTGCTCGTGGGGCATTTTGAAAACATAAATAATTTTAATGCTATTTTCACGCAATTTTACAAATTTATGTAAGTTTTTAATATAGAAGTTCCCATAATTGTCGCTAATGGACAAGATTTTTCCACTATTGTTTATTAATCATAAACTGATGAATTTAAATTTGTTACAAGATAATTTTATTATTTAAGGTACTAACACTACTTTTGTTTGCTATACCGTTTATAAAGACGTGCCGGGTAAAAGCTTTGCGGGCGCGCCCGCCTTCATTTCATTGCGCTACCGGGAGGAAAGAGGAAGACGAGGTACGAGGGCGATATCGAGGGGGATAATGGATTGAATTGAATTGAGTTGAATTGATTATTCACTCAACCTCATTTTACTCACACCTTACTTTATGTGGCGAGACTCGGGCCATCATGCCCGTTTTTCCCTCTGAATACGCAAATTTCGCTACGCCCCTTTCACCAACTAGCGGAAAAGGAGGTATTTCTTGGGCGACGAACAGGCGATTTGAATTTAGCTCAGAGGCGTCATTTAGGCTTGAGGATCTAGTAGTAGCAAGTAAATCTACTAACATGGGACAGCCGGCTTTACTTCCTCTCCGAAGAAAGGCGTATGAAGGATTTCTTCGCCGTTAAAAATCCACGGCTTCAATCTGGTTTGAACCCGCCAACTTGGGTATAACAATCCGATAAGCTAACTGTTACACCATCGCCGCACGCCAATGGATTAGTGTTTCCATGTGCGTCAATGTTCATTAGTGGCCAGTAGGTTTGCATGGTTTTATGACGGAAGATGGCGGTATTCTTTCTCCACATCACGGGGAGGTCTGGCTCCGACCTACATACAGTTTGCGGGGTTTTCCCCTTCAAGTATCTCCCACCAACAGGCAGCGCCCCAGTCGGGACAACCTCCGAACTGGTCTCCCGATATTGTGAGGAATCAACCGATGTACGGCAGATCGCACAAAGCGTAATACACAGTCAAGAAATCCCAGGTCGTGTCACCACTGGATTTATATTCAGGGATTCCCCAACGTTGACATTGACAGGAGACATTGGCATTCCCCTTACTGGAAGGGGCGGATGGGAAGGTGAACTTCCGAGAGCGATGCAAGGCTCGGAGTTGCCCATCGACCAAGATCCGGGATTCATAATGCACGTGACGAATTTGACGAATCACAACAACTAAGCGAGACGAAGACCAATCAGACGCGGAAGGTGGCAAAGGGATGCGGAGGTGAGTAAAGATATGTTGTATGGAAGGATGGAAAGTTGGGACGCCAGTGAAGAGTGAAGTGGGGTGGAGAGTTGTGGGAGAATGGGAAATATAAATGAATGGGGTAAGACTAATGACGGTGGGGTGATAGAGGTGAAGAGGATGAAGAGAGCAGCCGAGAGGTGATGGTGGGGGCAGGTGAGGCATAGGGATGGGATGTGTGGTCGGTTGTGAAAGTTGGGCCAAAGCTGTGAGGGTGGTGAGCAGAGTTGGCGGTGAAAGCGGTGGTGGTTGCGAGGACGCTGAAGACAGTGAAGGTGGTGGGGCTGGCTGGGGTAGTGAGAGCGGCGAGACTGCAGCACGGGTGTCGGATGGGGATGCGTAGGTGGCGGCTGTCAGACGCAGAGGTGCGGGCGTGAATGAATGGACCGCGTCACAAGAAGACAATAGACGATCGTCGGGAGGCAGCGCCCGACGAAAAAATAACTTGGCCGACGCGGTACAAGAGCCGGAATGCCGACTGCGCTCCTGCCAAGGGAGCGCGCACAGTGGAGCAAATTGCCTCCTGACGCAACTCGCGGAGCGAATCTTCACTATCCGGCGGCGGTGTACGCCAAAATACCAAAAGAAGCACTATCGACCAAAAAAAGAAATGAGATGAATATAAGTGCGTAAATCCTGATTTTCAAATGAATATGATCCACAATTTATCATCATTTAACTTAACTAACACCTTTTTCACATCAAAATACAAAACAGTCACCTTTTAATGTGTGTATTCTGACGCCACCTCCACCAAATGTACACCAACGGCTGATGGGGAGTCGCAGACAAATGATCACTGCGAGGTTTGAATTACTCACAGGGAAGTGGGATTTTTGTGGTGAAAACGGACATCTAAGCACAAACACGAAAATCAATAAAACTTGGATCATGTATCCTCAAACTCAATTAATGAATACACTTTAAGACAAACCAATTATACACTTTGTACGAAGCACGAACAACACTTCTAAATTTTGTAATTTACTTTTGAAATACGCTATTCTAGTCAAACAAGACTCTCCTCTGCCTTAGATGTCTTCACGGGCGTTACGCTTGGGAAATCCCGTCACAAATTACTTTGAATGATTTAAATTCACTTTAAATTAAAAAAAATTAATTACGCTTGTGAGGTCTTAAAATTTAAACAAAAGATTTTCAAATAGCATTTACCACAGATGAACATTACAAGATTAATATTCTGAAGCAAATGAAAATCATGAAAGTTACATAAATCTTCTAAGTTGCCATGTCACCATCGCTAAGTCACCATGTCAGAACAACGTCTGTCCCGTTTTTTCATCTCGCGCGCCCTTCATCTGCCTGTCATCTCACACGATCTCACTCCTGATTGATCACACACATTTCAGTATACCTGTTTATTCTTTGAGTTCCTGCTTTGTAATAACTTCATTTATTTTCTGCTCCGCGGAATTTGCTCACGTATCCTTTCACTGCATTATTTATTAACATACTATGTATTTTCCCCTACTATCAATTCTGTTGTTCTTTCCTTGTATTGTTTCCAAAATAATGCTCACCTCGGTTTCTTTTCTATACCTCCATTGTTAGTATCGACCATATTTATAAATACATAAAATTATTCTATTTCATTACCTTTGTGATATACCCCATATAATACTCCCCATATTAACTTAAAATTAATCAAATTAACGCTCTAATTTGTTGATTACGTTGTTTTCGAGACAAAATAATTCAATTATGTTGTGGTCCGGAAACTGATGCTAGACTTGGAGCAAGCGTATGCCAGTGTCAAATTACCGTTAGCGATGAGTCGTGGCGGTTGCGGCAGCCAAGGCGCGGACGCGAAGAAGACACGGCGGTAAAACACGCAGCTGGAAAGGCGCGGTGGGGAAGACGCGGCAGCGAGGACGTGGGGAGGAAGACGCGGCGGGGAAGAGGCGACAGGAGAGACGCGGACAAAAAGGCGAGGAGGGGAAGATGCAGGGCAGAAGACACGGGAGAGAGAGGCGGCGGAGAAGACAGTGGGGTCGACGCGGCGGGGGCGGTCTGAAGTGGCACGGGTCTGAGGAGATCGCGGTGACATTTTCCGAGAGGGAGAGCGTGGGCGCGGAGAGAAGGGACTGAGGATGGAGGATTGAGGTCTGCAGCAGCCACCAATATTACAGCTTTGAGTATCTCCATGAGGCTAAACGAGAGTTTTACGCCCGATGCCCAACTTGGACGATTATCGGGGGCTGGATGCAGGCGGCGCGCCCAGTGGAGAACTGCCGAGGCAGAGACGGATGGGTAAAGGAGTTTCCAACAAGAGAACGGGGGAGGTTACCATTGTATTTTTATCGGCGTCTGACGTAACGTAGAGATGGCGGTGGAGTGGGGCGTATTTAATAGAAACTACCCGCATTTTCGGATCAGTCGGATTTTCGGATCGGTGGAGGCTGTATATGAATAATTTGCCAATTCGTGGGTTTGAACTAACTCCAACATCAGTTTGCGCCCAACTGAGTGCACCATATGTCTTTTTTACGAGCAAACTTTAAAAGTGGTGACGCAGCTATTGTCGAAGGTTTACCCAACGCTGAAACGTTGACGGCCTGATTGCATACCCATCCGACGACGTCGCACGAATTTGGGATCTGCGAGGTGTCCCACAAGGTGAGCATAAGAATCGGCGACCACAGTCAGTGGTAGGCCTAAGCCTACGAATAATTGGATGCAATGAGACATGTTTAAAAAATAATTTTACTCATTTTATCGAAAACAATTATCACACATTACGGGCGTTTTTCAAAGGTATATTTCCTTAGTAAGTTCCTTTTCTTAATGAGTATACACTTTTTTACATTTCGAAGAAACGAAGAAAGGAAAAAAAATAATTTTTCGCGGATAAACGTTATTTTGAGGCAGACGAGTAGGGTTTACCTATAATCGAGAAGGGGGGGGTTGCAATTGACACTTCTCAAGAGATCTTACACTCCTAGTGTCACCCAAAGAATCGTTTTTGGGATACGTAATATCATGAGGGGGAACTGTGACACAAACATCTTGGTATGATTCAGTACTTAGAAGAAATTAGACAGGTGATTTAGTGTTGAAGGGTGAAAATTTCAGTTGCACAATTGCAGTGATATACAATTGTTCTGGTATTTTCAACAGGAAAAATACCTTCCATACTAAGTACAATTACTCTTTGTCAGTTCCTCATTTTTTTCTGTTAGGTAAACTATGAAGTTTTGGATGAGAAATGCATATTATATAAAATGGTTGCTTGGGGGACGTTGATGAGTATCATTCTTTTTTATTTTGAACTGAATTGCAATTACAAATCCATTTCGAATTAATGAAAATTTTGGCAATTTGTAAACGTATGTAGTTGGGTACTTTTTAATTCGTTTTGTAAAACCAAAGTTAGGGTTGATTCTTTCTGTCAAGTGTGAAGAAAAATTTGCGAAAAAGAAGCAGCATTGAATTGACTTCATCACACAGTGTAGACGGCAAATTATCTCGATTGTTTAGAGTATGTGGCAACACGTACTTTTAGCCCAAAATGTGTACAGCGAGCTTATAGAAAAAAGCTCTATAGCAAAAGTGCGAGTAAAACAGTTTTGAATCAACGTGTACAATATACCTCTTGACAACCCTGGGAAAACAGTTCCGGGGCGGGCAGAGTTACGCGGTAATCCGACTCTATTGTGTATCAAAATATTTGATTGCAGAACGGAGCCTTATGGATTATTGCCCTCCCTTTCTCACTAATACAATTTTGCATAAGACTCTCTACCGCAGGCTATGTTGCCAATTCACAGAGCTCGGGGTTATTCGGCTCGTCCATCCTGTTTCACGCGCAAATATTTAAAATGTTTACTCAACGATAGCTTCAATTGTGTTGAGCTTAGATAACCGAGTTTCCTTACCAAATATTCCCAGAACTTTTATGAATGTGATAGCTATTTTGTAATTGAGTTTCACGGTTTAATTGCGAAGAAATTAATTATAAATGATAACTGTGTGTTTACTTCCACATTTTCTTCCACATTTACTTCCACATACGAGAAACCTTTCTATTATTGAAGAAAAACGCAAACAGTCAGCGGATAAAATTACACGGAAAGTCAAACTTTTAATGAAACAAACCCTGTTTCTGCGTGAATCATGGTTCTTGACTTAGAAGATAAAAACAATATTCAGTGCATTCGGAACGAACATTTGATGTCGCTCGGTGATCTGGTATCTTCAATACGTCTTAACGATTCTACACTGGCGATGGAGAAAAGAAAAATAGAGTATTTATTTTTGAATTTCACTTTTTTCATACAACGAAACACAATAAACATAACTAAAATAGTGTATTAGAAATTTTATAATTACGAATATTAATTCCAAATTCCATTCAACCAATAATTCTGTCTTAAATTGTGCGTTCGAATGCAAAGATGTGGCGAATTTTTAACATGACTGATGAAGATGAATATTAGGCGTTGTCCGTTGCTGTATCTGAAACCCATCTATGTCATCTTACCTTTATGGATTGGCGTTTTCCCTTTATTTTGCATATAAATTGTTATGTGAAAACACTGGACGAGTTAAATGACTTGAGACTGAAAATTAGTAACATTGATCTTCATATCAATGTCATTTGTGCAAAACAGTAGCTCAAGTTCCATTAGTGTTTGAAGGATAAACAATGTCTCACCAGGAGTTGGACGTGTTTTGCAACTGATATTTGAGTGATAATTTTCATTTAAACTTTATAAAACAATTTACCATTGAATTTATCTATTTTTATAAAAAAATAACTCTTTAATTTCTAATATTAAGTGATCTATTAAAAATTATTGAAGTGATCTTCGTTCAAGTGGTATGTTAACTTTCTCCAGGCTTGTACGTGGTACGTAAAGATCATTGAGTCCCCTTGTAGTACTCCAGTCTTGCTTGAAAAAAATAACTTTGAACTTGACTCTGAGATGTGGATGTCACTCGTCCGTGGGAAGAGAGCTTCCCATTTGAGCGATCATCCGGTGTTGGAAGCGAGAGCGCCAAACATTCTCAACATTGATCCGTATATACAAGAGTTCCAAATTCATTAGATTGCTGCGCGTGTGGGTCTCAGTGTCTTAAATTTGTAGTGTTTACCACCTCCTTTTTTCATTAATTTTATATTCCGTTACTTGCAAGAATGTCTAGTGTTTCTCCCAATAAAAGGTGTCGTGGAGAAACTTTGCAAAGCAAGGAACGCCGAATTATTATCAATATTTTTGATTACATTAGCAAAATATATAAGGTTTCAACTGCTATCAAAGAAACGTCTGTTGCAACAGGTTATTCGGAAAGAACCATTTACAAGCTTCGAAAGCAATCTGGCCAAGACATTTAGTCGACACCTGGTAAAAAGAGAACTCATAGCTAGGCAGCTCACATACAATCAATACGTAAAATCTAAAATTTGGCGAACTGTTCATGACGTTTTCAATACAGTTCTGACAATACATCCCCAATATTGAAATCAATTTTGAATGTAATCAAAGCTAATACAAATTTACATAACTTATCAAGATCCTCTTTGCATAAATATTACATAATATCGGCTTGTTTACGAAAGAAAAGGAAAGATGTCAATGTTAACGGAACGGGATGACATTATTTGCTGGAGACCCAAATATTTGAGAGACATTAGAAAATTTCGGAAAGAAGGCAAAACTTATTTATACTAACAAGTCGTGGGTTAATGCTGGGCACAGTTTTCAAAAAGCTTGGCGAGTTACTAAAATTAAAACACCTTGCCAAGCTTTTCTTGCAGGTTTGACTGTTGGGCTCTGCTGCCGGGCTCTGAGTGAATAATAATAATAATAATAATAATAATAATAATAATAATAATAATAATAATAATAATGTCTTTATTAATGGCGACTCAGGCCACAGGGACTGCTCTTCCGCATGACCGCTGAATCTACATTAATACAGAGTAGTAGCATTTAAGAGGAGGAGGGCCCTTGATTGTTACAGATTATTTAAAATATATTTAAGAAATACGTTTAAATTGTAGACACATTTTATGTAGAGTAATATGTGTAGATATGAAAGGGAATTTATAAGTTTTGATTAATAGTACTATTACGAAAGGATGATGTAATGATGCGCATTAATACTGGAGTGTGATATAATATTATGATATAGCGAGTATCGTAAACTTCATACTGTGACGGTACTTCGCCAAATAAAATAATAATTTTTTAATGAAATGTTTGGGAACCTGACGAACACAGGGGTCTTGATAGGTGTGAGTCAGTAATGGAGACCATGTAAAAAACGTTACTCAGATTTTCAAATAACTTGGGATTAATTATTTTCTCAATTAAAATACACTTCGTTAATGATAAACCATGTCACACTTCGATTGATCATTAATTACACTTTCCAAATAATTACTTGCTTTACTTCTCAACCAAGAATTTTTTCAGCTGTGGTATCATTCTTTTACATTTTGGCTATTAATTCCATTATTGCTTTTCCTTGAGGGACATCGTATAATAATATTTTAACACTCTACTACCATGTACTCATTAATCGGGTCTTCTAATTAAGCTTTGTAGACACTTTAGCACAAAATTAACAAGTTCATCTTCTTTCACAATTACGCAATATTTAAATAAGTTCTCATTCCAAAATAAGCTCTTATTCTATTATTTAGTTTTTTTTCCTTTATAAAAGATACACTGCCGTCATCAATTATATATTAATTATCTCCCAGTTAACCCAATATAGTTAGTAAAAATTGAGGTTTGATTAATTACATTCACTTTAGGGTTCAATATTCTGCAGTCTTGTTTTCGCATAAGCTTCCGGAACTAACACTTTCCTAGCATTTTTACTCGACGCACAGAAAACAAATTCAGAGAAACATTTCATTCTGCTGAGGTCGGCTGTCGCCAGTCCCCTCCGAGCGCAGGTCGAATCGCTCGCAGCTACGCAGTCGCGCCGCAAATAGCGCTCCGCTGGCCGCAACACGGAAAGGTCGGCGGCCGTCCTGCGCGCCCCAAAGCCCCCTGCGTAGCCATGACTTGCTCGCCAGTTGAAGTCAAGAGTGATCGCGGGCCCCTTAGGAGCCACATACTTGTATAACAGTTACAGATCAATACGAATGAATTAATATCCATTAGATCTAGTTTCATCTTGTACAATTGACGAATATTTATTTTATTTATTTATTTATTTATTTATTTATTTATTTATTTATTTATTTATTTATTTATTTATTTATTTATTTATTTATTCACTTATTTATTTATTATTCAGACATTTGTCTTAACGGGAAACCAACCCTTCTATGCTG